ATTCTGGCAGTGGATCTATGGCCTTTTCAGAGACCTCTCAATTAGTCTGTCTTCTGGAAGACCAGTTCTGCTACCATCCCAGGGGGGAGATTGAAAATCCAACCCTGCAGGTTTCAATCTGAGACGCATTAACGCCATAGAGTATTTCAATTCAAAGTGAGGAGAGCGATAAAGCGGTGGGTACGCAGCAGAGGCAGGCTGGGGAATTGCCGTCTCCACGGGCTTGATTACAGAGAATTGGTTCATGTTCAAGAGGCAGCTGGCTACAAGGGTGAGAGGCAGATTTACAACCCGGGAAATGTGGGGTGCCTTGGAAAGACGTTAACATCATTAAACAGCAGAGATCTGGCATGGAGTGAACTTCTGCAGGCCCAGCGTTGCGGTGAGCATCTTACTGTCAAAGAATCGTAGGAGGAGTGAGCACACAACATCATCAGCAACACAAAACACATGTCCAGCCAGGGCTATGTGTGGTTATGGTGGTCTCCAGATGCATCGCTCACTAAACGGGTACCTCAGGATTGTGGGTGTGTCTTTCATTTTATAAAGAGATGTGGGGGCTCCAGGAAGTGATATGAACTGCAGGCTGGAGTTAGGATTCTAGTCTGGCAGACCCCACAGGTACATCTTTAATTGGTCAACAAAAAAAAAATCAATCCCAACCATGCTACATTAGGAATGGGGAAAAGCAGTCAAGCTTAGGGACTGAGACAACCCCTTTATTTCCCACAATCCACCCCCAAAGCTGGGTGACATGAAGAAAAGAAGGATGTAAATGGCTGGCTATCCATGGAATAATAAAAGAAAAACTAGGCAATCACTATTTCTTTTCTTTACCTCCCACTTTGAACTTTGTGCCTTTAAGAGTCCATAGCAACCACTCAGACTACTTTGAAGCAAATATTTACATACCCCCAAAGTTTACACTTTAAAACCTTGGGTCCAATACAGTGTGCCAGCAGAAAAAAAAAATGCAACAAATGTACTTAGCAATACAATTGACTTGTATTCCCCATTCAGGAGTCTAAGATAGAAGGAGAGCTCCCATTAGGCAATACACTGCAGAAATGTAGGTCTCATAAAAGAGAAGGTGAAACAGATAGAGTGCTCTGACTGCTTTTTGGGAAAGGATAAAGCAAAGGGGACTCTTTGTTTTTCACCAACTTAAGTGAGCCTCAATCTCCTGTTAGGAGGAAAAACTGGTCAAATTGGCCAATCTGATGAAGGCAGTTAATCAACTGAGAGTCCATCTTCCCAGATGTGTGGAAGTTTGGGTCAAGTTGACAACAACTGACACTTTAATGCTGTCTAGCTGAAGCAAATTTCAAATCAGTAAATGATGCTGGCTTCTCTCTGAGATGTTTTCCCTCCTAGGCTTGAGTGTGCTCTGTGCTTACTGTGTGGGTCTCTACAAAGAGAAGGGGAGGTGAACTCAGGGTACCCTTGTTCTTTTTTTAAGCATCAAGGGGTCCTAGAGCTCTTAGATAATGGTAACAAGAAACTGATGTTGCTTTCTAAATTAAACTGTTAGAGTCACTCCGTTCAAGCGAATATGGAGCTTCCTACTATAAAGAATGTCTTTAGCTATATGCTCCCACTTCTAAGAGACGATGCAGATGTTACATGCTCTGAGATAATTGGAACTAAATCAATGGAGCCACAGTCAATGGTTAATTATCTAAATAAATAATAAATAAATAAAATCCAAGCCTTAACTAACACAGTTTTCAGGCCAAATGTTCTAATATATGTAGAGTTTCCAAATAAATATTCACTGACTCAAGGTTATGAAACAGTTGGCCTTAGAATTCTGAAACCTTTCAGTAAGACAGGAATGTTCTTTGACGCCCATAGGATGTAGATTTAGTAGAAACTTTAGGTTACACTGATGCAAACTAATTAGAGATCTAACTGAAACGTTAAGGGAATTTGTATGCAGATATCTTCTAAGCATTTCTCCTACATGTATCCTCAAGTGAATTGATTCAAGACACCTCAGTAGCATTCTAAAGCTCCTTGAGTTTCCAGCTTAAAAATGAGTGTGGCTTCTGGTTTCAACTTCCATCTTAAATCAAACGCTTCATGGCTTTTTCTAGTCTCATTCTTCCTAGTTTATACTTAAACATATTTATGTGAAATCTGTTACCATAATGTTACAGGCCTGAGATCCCAGCTGCTCAGAACTGACAAGCCCAGTCATCCAGTGATGAGAGTTGTTAGGAAGGAATCGAGTTTGTCTAGGGGAATGCATCATTGGAAGATGCAGAGGCTGTGGACCTTAAAGCTTCGTCCTGGAGAACTTGGGGGTGTAAAGGGCTTTGGAAGCTGGAAGAGACACAAACAAATGCAGGCTGTATGCAGAACCCAGCCTTCAGCATCCCAGTACGTGCCTCCTGTCCCCTCTGGCCAGAGCCTCCCAAGCAAGCTCAGCCACACCCTCAGTGCCAGCTGCAGCATTCTAACACAGATGTGTTACTTTTCTACAAGTTAAAGCTCATGGAAGTTTCTCTGCTCTGTGTTAACTGAGGCAGAGAACAAAAGCCTAGAGAGCATTGCAGAGTTCAACAGGGTTCTAGAAATGTAAAGAAAGATTATCTCACACTTCACATCAGTCACATTAGGTGGGACAGTCTTTAGATTTAGAACTCCACATTTGTGGGGCAGCGTTTGGGGGCAAGTGAACTTAATTCTTGTAAAGAGGTTAGGCAGGAGAAGCCAAAGTAATTCTTCCTATAACAGCTATTACAGAAAGGCCAGAGAGCAAGAGAGAGAGAGAAACAGAGAGAGTGAGAGAAACATGTGTACAGGCACACAGAGCACAAACACAAAGCACACACACAGAGCACACACATCCCACAATACACCACATACCACACATACACAGACATCACCACCACCACACCCTACACACCACATATAGAGAGCTTATGTGAACACACACATACACACACACATACTGCATAACATCACATACACACACACAGAGCACACACATCCCACAATACACCACATACCACACATACACAGACATCACCACCACCACACCCTACACACCACATATAGAGAGCTTATGTGAACACACACATACACACACACATACTGCATAACATCACATACACACACACAGAGCACACACATCCCACAATACACCACATACCACACATACACAGACATCACCACCACCACACCCTACACACCACATATAGAGAGCTTATGTGAACACACACATACACACACACATACTGCATAACATCACATACACACACACAGAGCACACACATCCCACAATACACCACATACCACACATACACAGACATCACCACCACCACACACTACACACCACATGCAGAGAGCTTATGTGTACACACACACATACTGCATAACACCACATACACACACAGAGCACATACATATCACATATATACAAACACACCCCCCAAAATATACTACCAAATACACACCACATACCCCAACCCACCACACACACCACACCATATACACCACAAAAACATATACACACAGAGAGAGACCACACACATCACAAACACACACGCACACACGCGTACACACGCACACACACGTGCACGTGAGAAGGATCTCTTAATAGTCATCCGTTGTGCTTCCAATAGTCTTATATTCTTACTTAACACATAAGCCTGATTCCACAGTCACTGGAAGACTGGCAGATGCTCTGAGTCCCTCATGCTGCTTTGTGTTGGGATGCTTCTCCAATGAGCAACACTGTACAGCCTGAGGATGTGTGTTTACTTTATCCTGAGAAAGCCAGCCAAGTTTCACATATGTCTCTCTCTTCAAGCCAGTGTCTATGTCTACAGTAGTTGTTGCCATTACATCAGCTCACAAAAGAAAATGGATCAGTGTTTTTACTGGAGTTACTAGGGACAAAGCCTGGGCCTTCATAGCACCAACAAGTGAGCTCTAATCCTACCCTGAGCATCCTCAGAATTATTAGAAGGCAGGGGAAGAAGGAGGAGGGAGAGGAGGAGAAGGAAGAGAAAGAAGGGGAAGAAGAGGAAGAGGAAGAGGAAGGGGAAGAGGAAGAGGAAGAGGAAGGAGAAGGAGAAGGAGAAGGAGAAGGAGAAGGAGAAGGAGAAGGAGAAGAAGAAGAAGAAGAAGAAGAAGAAGAAGAAGAAGAAGAAGAAGAAGAAGAAGAAGAAGAAGAAGAAGAAGAAGAAGAAGAAGAAGAAGGAAGAAATATATTCAATGTGGTCACATCGGGAGAGGGTACAAGGGGGTTTAATAACCACTCAAGTCCATTCGTGGGGTCCTGACCTGAGATTCATACTCAAATAGGAAGTGAGGCCTGTGCATCGGTGAGTAGGCCCTAATGGAGCTGAGGTTCTGCCCACCATCATGATCTCCTCTTAGAGCTCCTGCACAGTAGTCTGGATAGTTGTCAGGACTGTGGCATCTCTTTCCCAGAGACAAGCTCTCCCTCTGGCCGGCAGTGGGCTTTGCTCTTTTCCTCCTCCCTACATTTGATTCCTGCATTAATTCTAATTTCTTGGGGACCAAAAGTTTGATGGAGAAATGGAGAGCTGAAAATGTCTCTTAGTATCTTCATCCCCTCTAAAACAGTCTTGCGGCACGAAGAAGCGTGGACTTGGGTGTGATGTACCCAGAGGCTTTTGTTCTTTACTCCTCCCAGGGTGCCAAGTGTAAGCTCCAGCATACTTCAGTTCAGCCAAATATCACTATTCCTTAAAGGTGGCTGAGAACTGAACAACAGGTAAAACACAATCTCATGGGATGAGGAAATGGCTCAGCAGTTAGGAGTGCCTACTGCTCTTGCAGAAGACCAGGTTCAGTTGTGAGCGTTCTCACAGCAGCTCACAACTGCCTTTAACCCTAGTTCCAATCACTCTGACTCTTCTGACCTCCAATGGCTCCTGAACATGTGGTGCCCAGGCATACAACACACACACACACACACACACACACACACACACACACACACACACACACATAAACACATGCACGCACACGCATGCCCGCATGCACACACAGTAATGATGATGATGATGATAGTAATAATAATAATAAATTTTAAGCAATTCACATTTCAGAGTGAAGTGTTACCTGCCTTTGCAGTGTGTGTGAAGGGAGCTACCCAAAATCAGTTCAGCCCTCAATGCAACATCTGATGTGGACTGTGAACCAGGTATAAAGACTGGAAGCTGAAAACTCAAAAAGGGACGATTTCTCCTTAGAGTGTTGCTTCTATACCATGGAAGTGCTAGCCAGTGGTGCTCTACCACCAGAGTGGCTTCAAGGAGATGACTGGAGAGTGTGACGTGCCTTTCCTGAGCCATTCACTATGGTAGAACATAAAGGTGCCTTCTGAAGGATTTCTGCCAACAGGGTGGATTGCTGATCCCTCAGAGGACCTGCTGGGAACAGGAATCAGAGTGGTGAGGATCACAAAAGTCCAGTTTTGGATGGTCTATCATCCTCAGAGCACCATCTTGGTGGGGTAAAGGAGGGCTTAATGGTACAAAGAGCTTCTACAGAGGCAGTAAGGGTGCTCAAAGCAGAAAGACTGTGTGGTGTGCAGGATCTTCCCCTTCCAGGACATTCTTCTCTGACTAGAGTGCCAGAGTTGGCTTTCTGGGACTAGTTCCTGTCATAGACTTAAAGACTAAGGAAGCATATTCCAAATCTCTCTGGGTAGTCTAAGTTGTGGAAATCTAAAGCTAACACCATAAGCACCTTAGCTGTGACTTCTGGCAAAATTTAAAGTTCTGGGTAAAAGGACATGAATGCCTACAAAAGGACCAGGAAGGAATGACAACCATGCAGAAGGGTGGAAAAAAAGCAAGGGGACAGTAACCCTGCTAAAGGACCGTGACATAGGCAGTCACTACCCTTCCCTAAGAGTCCTGCTATACAGGACAGCCTATGAATGAGGGTCCAAAGATTCCAGGCCTATGCCCATAGGAAAAAATCCTGTCTTGGGATATCCCATCAGATTCCAAAGCCAAGCTAGGCAACACCAGTTCAGGAAGACGTCTGTGTGCCCATCTATCCCCAAAGCCTGGGCTGCCTTCCTAGAGGGATCAGGAAGAATGAGAGAAGATGGAGAGTCACATCCTGTCGCTGGCTTCCAGGGCCACTGGGGAGAAGCCTGGCATTGAATTTTAAGAATTGCAGAGGAGTGGGCGTGCCATATTAAACATCCCACTATTTTGATACTAGCAGCAAGCAAAGGACTTTTCATTTCCTGAAAGCGACAGGAAATTGAAGAACCTGCCAGAGATATGATCTTTGTGTGGGCAAAAGGGGTTGATAAAGCCAGACCTGAGAGAGGAAAAAAAAACTGAAAACCAAAAACAAAACAAAAGCTATCCCAAGCTCCCACCCTATCAAGTTCCACTCTGTCACTATCACAGGTATTTCTGTCCATGGCTCTTTCTTCTCCAGAGAGAAGGAAAACCTGGGGAAGCATGGAGGATCACTGGCCCAACGACAGGCTAACAATGGTTTGATAGATGAGCAGTTTTACAGGTGAGCATCAGAAGCTGCTGAGAAAGCAAAGACGAAGGTTCAGGGAAAGACATGAGGAGAGGAGGGATCAGCAGTGGGAGCTATTCCTCCTGGGGAGGCTCGGGAGAGACCAGCTGTTCTATACACTCAGTAAGAAAGGACCAGGAAGAGGAGAAGAAAGGGTACCCAGAGTAGGTCTGGTGCAGCAGAAGTTTCCCAGCACAATAAGATGAGCAGGGGCTGGGAAAACACTGTCCAATCATGAGGACCCAAGTTCATGCCCTATCACCCAAAACAGGATGCTCAAAAATGCCTATTACTCCAGCTCAAAGGAGCCAACACTTTCTTCTGGCATATCATGTAGCTTTAGTCCCGGCATGTTGGGTGACAGAGACGGGAGTATGTCACAGGCCAGCTACATGATGAGGACCCAGGGTCATGAGAGATGCTGCCTCAAACAAAAGGTTGAAGACCCTGCCTTGGAGAGCTGCTGCTAGTACTGGAAGCTATGGTCAGACATGGCATGTGTCCACTCAGTAAGGACATCCTGAGATTGGATGTAAACTGACTCTGTAAACACGGGTCTGGGGAACCAGCGTTCATCACTACTCCCTGAAACGGCTGTGAAATGACGGCAATCATGTCCTGGTCATCACACACCCTCCATGTAGGGATACTCTTTCCTTTCAAACTTTGTGTTGATTTGCTTTCCATCACTGTAGGAAAACACCAGAGAAAACGGGCTTAGAAATATTAAAGGTTTGTTTTGACCCACCATTGCAGAACTTCCAGTCCCACAATGGGTTGGTCACACAATGGCTTGGGGCCTGTGGGGAGACTTAGAACAGAAGAAAACTTCTCCATGTGTGGAGGCAAACAGTAAGGAAGGGACTAGAGCGCCACAAGAGGGGTCTCTCACTAGGCCCTTAATGGACCCATTGCCTCTCAGGAATAAGAGTTGGGGAGCAAGCCTTCAGCACATGCTCCTCTGAGGAACAGTCGGGAACCAAACTAGGACAAATCTCGGTTTTTGTATCAGCGTAGAAGTGAATTTGTTACCCACAGAATTCCTTTCTCTGTGATGCAATAATAGCTCTCGTAACCTGTCCTCATTCTGCTCCTAATCCCCCCCCCCAGCAAAAGGGCACAGAGAAGGGAGTGTGAGCTACAAGACTTGAGCATCTTATGAACCACTGACAGCATTTCTGTCCTGTGTCCCAGGAACTAATGTGGAGTCCAACCTGCTCCCACTGTTCTCAGGCTGCATCCCCAGCTCACGTGCACTGAGCATCAGCTGAGGGCTAGGCACCACGGCAGGGGGACCCATGCACCTCTCCTCGTGGTTGAAGGACATTGTCACTGAACTGACAGACCTTCCTCTGCCTTTGCCCATCTCAGAGGGTGCCTGCTTCCCCCTCGATTCTTCCCCATGCCCCGCCTTCCTGAAGAACCAGTTATCAGTGGGGCTGACAGGGCCTTGAAGTAAAGGTTTGGGGACAGAGTGCAGGACAGTCGTCTCGTGGTTTTATAAAGAGGTATACACCCTCAGCTGAGGCTGGGACAGAAACAGGGAGTGTGGGGATAATGAGGAACTGTGATCGCTCTAACCAACTTCACACGAGAGGCCGGTACCACTGAAACTGTGTATCTGCTGCCTTGACTGTGGTGGGTACCACTGAAACTGTGTATCTGCTGCCTTGACTGTGGTGGGTACCACTGAAACTGTGTATCTGCTGCCGTGACTGTGGTGGGTACCACTGAAACTGTGTATCTGCTGCCTTGACTGTGGTGGGTACCACTGAAACTGTGTATCTGCTGCCGTGACTGTGGTGGGTACCACTGAAACTGTGTATCTGCTGCCTTGACTGTGGTGGGTACCACTGAAGCTGTGCATCTGCTGCCTTGACTGTGGCATTCCTTTCAACCGAAGACACCGCTGCCTTCAGCTTCCATTTTCCCCTGCAGACAGTTGGCTGATCCCCATGGTCAGTGTTGGCCAGACCACATCTACAGCAGGGACTGGATGCTCCTTGACTCAGATCTAGTTTCCGGCCAGAACAATTTGAGGCCCAATGGAGATCTCAGAGTCCCCACTGAACTTCCTTCAGCCTGCACCTGCTTTTAAGTGGTCAAGTTCTGTAATCCAGTCAGCAGATTTGACCCAAGCTTGGCTCTGTTCCTTTTGAGGTTGTATAACCCCGATAGGAAACGTTAACTCTACACCATGAAACCTCCTAAACTTGACTCTCAGAAGAACGCATTCACGGGAGAATATATGATTCCCTAAACATGGAGGACTCGAGTGGGAAAATGGTGGCTACCCACAGACCACAAACCCAAATAGTTGAGAAGAAAAAATGAAGGCACTCCCCCGAATAAGTGAAATGCATCCTACCCTCTTCTTTTTAAGACTGTGTTTCAGGGTTAGGATGATGGCTTGGCGGATAAAGCACTTGCCATATTACCATAGGTATCTGAGCTCAGTTCCCAGACCCAAGTATAAAAAGCCAAGCTGGGTTTGGCAGCACATACTTGCAGCCCCAGAAGTAGGGCAGCTATGGTGGACGGATCCCCAGATCTCACTGGTCAGTCAGCCTAACCTAGGTGGTGAGTCTCAGAACATGTCTCCTACCCTCCAAAAAAGTGTTTGTGGCCTGAAGAATGACACTGGAGGTCATCCTTGGTCTTACATGCATGTACATACACATATGAGTGCACCCAAGCACACATGTGCAACTGAACACACACAGACATGCACATACATGTGTAGGCACACAGCAGAATGTGTCCTCACAAGTATGCACATAAATATATACATAAGGCAAAATTATACATATAAGCATATATAAGCATGTATACACCACATATCTGTCCTTGTGTTATATGTAAAAATCTTGTTTACATATGAATGCATGATATGTGTTGGCATTTATATATATTTTATGCACAGACACACACATACATTTTATATATTATACATTTATATATATATTCTGGCTGTGTTTTTCATATGACTAAATGTCAGCAAAACATCAAAGATGGTTGAGCTTAAGTCTTACCACATGTGGTGGGCAGTCCGTTGGCAACTGAGTGATGTTCAGATGAGTCTGAAATACCAACATATGCTGCTTGAAGGCATTCTATGTTTATTTCATAGATGTATTTTATCCTTTGTTTTCATACCGGCAGAATCACTAATTGTGTTGTAATAGAGTGAATATTTTGTATAATGTGTGTTTAGCTGAAAGTTGTGGCCAATTAGTCAGCTTTTCTTGAGAGATTACATTTTAAAAATTCATTCCAATTTGTACAAACGGCTCTGTAGAGACAGCTGGATCTGCGGCTGTCAATAGAAGTATAAAAGTCTCAGGTTCAGAAAAGGACTGTAAGTTCTACATAAATAATACAGCAGTGAGCGCAGCAGAGCTGTGTAAGCTAATTATTTCTCAGAAAATACTAAATGTGTGGAATTCATGAAAAAGAACAAACAATTCAAAAACAACAAGTTTTTCAGTAGCTCTTAAAGAACAGTAGGTTCCCCAGGGGCTGCCACTGACGGCTTTTGCTGGCTTTTGGGATCCTACTCCCCATGCTGGGTCCCCTTGCTCCGCCTTAATACATGGGGAGGGGCTTAGTCTTATTGCAACTTGATATGCCATGTTTTGTTGATACTCATAGGAGACCTGACTTTCCTAACAGAAACAAAGGAGTGGGTTGGGGGGAACAAATGTGGGCAGGGGGAAGGGACTGGGGGAAAGGAGGGAGGGGAACCTGTGGCCCAGATACAAATAATGCATTTACAAGAAAGAAAATGAGAGAAAGGCAGGTCCCCATCGTGACATTAAGAACTGTCATATTTCACATACATTACATATACATATGTACATGCACATACAGATACATACATACACACACACACAGAGAGAGAGAGAGAGAGAGAGAGAGAGAGAGAGAGAGAGAGAGAGAGAGAACTACTTGTTATTGCAATATAACCTCCTGCCATTAGGGGATTTTTGTGACTGCTGCCCTCCTTCAGGAGCTCCACCAGACCCTTACTTGGTAATTGAGGAAGCAGGAGCTCAGACCTTCTCTTTTTCAAGAATAAGTTTTCCCCCCTGTGGCACCAACTTGAAGGAGCTGGTAAACTAAGTCCATTTTGACTCTCTAAGCCCCTCCCGTGGTTCATACCCCTGCCGTGCACAGTCCAGAATCCAGCACCACCTCATAGGTTTGCAGGCACACCGACAATAAGCCAGAACAGTCCATTCTTCGCATCTCTTTCAGTTTGCCTGGTTTGTTCTGTGTAAGGCTGAACTGCTCATCTGAGGCCAGCACACAGCAGACTGTTTCTGTACATCTGTGCCTCATATTTTATCTGTGGGACCCTCTGATAACAGAGTCCCATGCAAGAGACCTCAGAGTTCTGCTAGCTGGGGACCCATCTTCCTCCTCAATCTGCTCACCACCTATACCATGCCAGCGGAGAAGCCTTGCCCATCACAGGGTCCCTATGGGCCCTTCTGTTACAACTGCCCTGACCTTCAAGGCTCGGCTCCGGTAGCCCTACTTCTGAGACTCCTACCCTGCACAGGGCAGTGCTCCCCCTGCATGGAACAATGTGTCTGTTGCACCAGACAATGCTCCCCATACACCAGGACAATACTTCCCCTGCACCAGGATATTGCTTCCCCTGCACCAGAACATTGTTTCCCCTGCACTAAACAATACTACCCCTGCACAGGACAATGCTTCCCCTGCACCAGGACAGTGCTCCCCTGCACCAGGACAATTCGCTGATGTCAACTTGTCTCTTCCCTGCTGGCAGCCATCTGTGAGACTTGCCAAACACCTTCATGTGATGAGTGTGCCCCATCCTTAAGATTGTGGGAGCAGCTCATCGAGACCCTTTATGACTAGAAACGGGCTGAGCCCATGACTTTCTGTTGGCAGCCCAGGAGAAAGTCCCCTGACTCACGGGACTAGGAGGATTTTGTGTCAGATACAAGAACTCAATGACTGTTTTTAGAAGTCACAGACAGATGTGCCCCCTTCACCTGCCAGCTACCTGTGGGAGCTCCCCATGTAGGTGAGTGGCAAGGGTCCTCTTCCTGTTTTGAATCTTACACAATTTAAAAGGCCACATCCAGGCTAGAGAGGGTATCTTCTGCCCTCGCCCGTAGGAACTAAGGCAACTGAGAAAGCTTCCAGATTTCTTGAGGACACTGATATGAAGAGCAAGGCGTGGCCCACACTTTCATTCTCAGCACTACAAAGGCAGAGGCAGTTGACCTCTGTGAGTTCAAGGACAGTCTGGTCTAAATAGCAAGTTTCAGACCAGTTAGAGCTACATACTCTGTCTCCAAAAAGGAAAGAAAAAGTAGGACTGGAGACATGGCTCTGTGGTTAAGAGCAGGTACAGATCTCACAAAAGGCCCAAGCCCACGTTAGATGGCTCACAGTCACCTGCAACCACAATCCTTTTCTAGGATACCTGATATCCTTTTCTGACCTCCATAAGCATGGATGTGTGCATACACACACACACACACACACACACACACACACACGCATGCACACACCCACATGCATGCACACATGTGGGAGCACACACAAGCTTGCACATGCCCCCACACAGACATATACATTAATAAAGATAAATGTTTTAAGAAAAGAAAAAAGAAAGAAAGCAAGGAGGCATGGGGCTGTAGGTCAGTTGGCAAACTGCTCGCTTTGCAAGCAGGAAGACTGGTGTTCAATTCCAGACCCCAGATTTTTAGAAGTCCAGTGCTGTAGCTACTTCGTGTGACCTCAATTCTGGAGAGGCAGAGGTGGGTAGATTTCTGGGACTCACTGCCCAGTCAAGCCTAGCCTACTCAGCAAGCTCTAAATCAGTGAGGAAACATGTGGCTTCCAAATGCAGATGTTGAGCTCTGATGGGTAACATAGGTCCCTCCAGAGGACTTTTCCCTGGAGTGCTAACTCTAAAGACGAGGGATCAGTCACTGTCTGGTTATAAAGGGCATGAATGAGCTGCCACACAGTCTTCAGATGGGATACACTCATCCCATGAAGGTCTGGTGTTTAAAAAGATCCACAGTCACCCTTGAGGAGAGGCAGGTTGGTAAGCCAGGTCAGCAATGACCAAATAAAGGACTCTGGAGAAATAATGGTGGTTCTATGGCCAGCAGTAGATCCTGATCAGTCGTTAGTTCCCTGGAAGGCTATAATTTAGAGTAACTGAATAAAGAATACCAGGGTTAGCCGGGCGTTGGTGGCGCACACCTTTAATCCCAGCACTCGGGAGGCAGAGGCAGGCAGATCTCTGTGAGTTCGAGACCAGCCTGGACTACCAAGCGAGTTCCAGGACAGCCTCCAAAGCCACAGAGACACAGAGAAACCCTGTCTCAAAAAAAAAAAAAAAAAAAAAAAAAAAAAGAATACCAGGGTTGTGACAGTTGTAAGTTTTTGTATGGACATACATTCTCAATGCATTCAGGAATGCGTCTGGTCACCGGCCTGTTTTCAGTTTCAACACTGTAACAGGACAGACGTTGTCATTTACAAAGTTCAAGCCCCAGAGTCCTGCACTGCAGTCAAGTACCACATTGTAGGAAACAAAGGTCTCAGAAGAACTGGAGTTCAGGGTGTTTTTAGTGGACCTCACTCACTGTGCTTGGCCTGTTGGGCACGCCTGAGAAAACTAGATGTTTTGTGCAGTGAGGGTGTTTAAGATGAAATCATCCAGTCGTCTTCTGTGTCTGGACCCTTTCACCGTCACTGGCAATGAGCATGTTTCCTGGAACAAGATACTGTCTGTTTGGGCTGTGGGTATTTTGGTAGATACATGGTGACATCTTGTTTCAACCTGCCACCCTCTAATGTGTGTGATGGGGGACATCTTGTCATTTGCTTATGTGTGTCTGTGCAGTTCGAGGACACAGGAATAACTCAGTGATGGGAAAGAAGGAGCCATCAGGCCACACAGCCTCCAGGAGACTTCCATGTGTGTCTTCTTTGGCAAGTCCTTCTCATCACTTAGCCATTTTTAAATTGGATCACTCACTGGAAGCTGTTTAGAGAGTTCTCTGTAAATTTCTAGATACCAGTCCTGTCTTGAGAACATATCCCCCTGGTCTGTGGTTTGGGTTTTCATTCTCTTAACTGCACCCCAAGTTCTTATTTTGTTAGCTACCCCCTGCTCTGTGGTTTTCATTCTCTTAACTGCCCCACATTCTTATTTTGTCAGCTAAGGGAAGTTTGCACAGCACAAAGCAGAATGCTGAAGAAGAAAGAAAAGAGGCTCTAAGAACCAGTGCAGGTTATGAACTGGATTCCCTTTCATTTCCTTTGAGAGATAGGATCTTGGGGAAAGGAAACCATTCCTCAGTCTTAATTACAGTACCTGTTCTGTTGGAAGGCCGTCTCCCTGGGAGGCCTCAGCTGGGTGTGCAGCCTCTAGGGGACCGAACATCAAGTGGCAGCCTGAGCCAGCTGGTGCTTCTGTCCACGGGCCTGTCTTGATCCTGACTATGACCTCCCAAACGGCAGGACTGCTCCTCTCTCCCCTCCTCCCTTCCGTGCCCACACCGCTGTGTTTTAGCAGGCAGGTGTGGAACGTTGAGAGGACCATGTTAACAAGAGCAAAACCGAAAGAAATCCACCTACTGTGTGACTGGCCTGCCCCTCGCTTCCCACTCTAGGTGGAGAAGAGGTGTGAGGTTCAGCCTTCCAAGAACACCCCGCTGCCCGCCCCCTCGGGAGGGTCTCACTGTCCATTCCCCCTTTGTAGTCAGTTCATGCTCTGCCCCTCCCCAGAAGGTGTAATGTTTCTACCATGTGGAGCAAGCCGGCCTTGAACTCCAGATCCTCTTACCTTAGCTTGCTATGTGCTGTTATGGCAGCCTATGCCACCATGCTGCATATACACCATGAGTGTAATTATCTCTGATCAAACAAAAGCAAGAATTTAATTCAAGAGACAGAGAAAAGTGAAACTAAAGCACTGTGTAAAGAGCTGAACAAAGAAAAGATGGGAGAGAAAGGGGGTGGAAAAGAGCATGTGTTTACACAGTTCGTGAACTTTTTAGGAGACTGGGATTCAAATTAAAAAATAAAATACAAACCAAAAATTATGTCACTTTCTCCGACTTCAAGCTCAGAATCACTAAAAACGGCAAAGTGGTGATGATATTCCAAAGACGTGTTCAGAGCTTATCTTTTCAGATGCCACAGCAATTGCTTTTCCTTCTAGAATGTGGTTCCATTGTTTTAAAAAGCAACTTCGAATTAGGGCGAGCTTCCTCAGGCAATTCCTGAAATAGCCACTAGATGGCAGAATGAGACCACATAGGCGTTGTGTCAGTCTGGCAGCCGATCTGTATGCAGCCCGGGGAGCCGCAAGCTAGCAAGCCATCTCCTGCAGGCATCTGATTAATAATGGGGCTGTAATTATCTTTACACAATCCCGATTGCAGCTCCGTTGTAGCCTAGCTGTTAAATTAAACTGCGCAAATAAATATGCCGAGCGACTCAGCCTCCCCAGCAGTCCCCAATCCTGGGTGACTTCAAAGCTTATTAACATATCAAAACACAAGCGGTAGCCCTCCCCTCTCCCTTCATTTTCATAACAAAAGGGCCCCCCCTTTCATCTCCCCAGCAACCCAGTCTGTATTTAAATAGCTCTGTGAAGACTGATAACATTATTACTTTATTTCCCCAGTCTAGGCCTGGGACATCACCAATCTGCTTCTTTGGGATGATGGATGGATGGATTTTATTAGGAAGATGAAACACACACACCGGCCTCCCCCGAAGCTGCCTGAAGCTTGGGACTGGGTGGAGGTGGAGAGAAGAGCCTGTCACAAGTTTGTCCTGAATACTCAGAAATAACAGAGTAATCTGGACCCATCCCAGGAAGCATCTGATGGTTCAGTGTTCTGGAGTCAAGGGAATAAAGATGTAAACAAAATCGGTTGGGGTCACAGGTCTAGGTGGTGTCGTCATAAACTGTAGAGCCCTGGGCATGAAGACAGACACATAGGTTCCTAAGGGCACCTCACCCCAGGCTGCTGGGCTGGGGCTCAGCTTCTTTTGCAAACTGTGGGGTGCCAGAGGCGTCTAAGAAGAGCATATGTGTCTCCATCATCTGTCACACCTGAAGAATCACCTCTGTCCCACCCTGGCCATCTGTACCTTCAGGGAAGAGGAACCTCAGTCCAGGAAGGAGGGAGGGTTGAGTAGGGTCTCAGCGACAGTCCCCTGTGGAGTGAGCAGGGCCTCTGTGTCCCTTGTCTCTACCCCACCCATAACCTCTTGGGACTTCCCCAAACCCTGCACCCACCTGCCAATGGACCTCTTTCTTCAGTCCTCGTTGGCTCAGAACTGAGACCAGTCCCAGCACCAGCACAGTGAGATATACGGATGGTGAGTAGGAGATGTGTGTCAGCCCAAGTCTGAGAATACAGAGGGTAATTTACAAGAAAGGAGGTTCGTTTGGGTCAGGATGCTGGAGGCTTGTGGGTGTGGTAGCAGCTTGGGACAGGGACTTTCAAACCACTTTAAAGGGGCAGGGGGAAAAAAGGAAGGATGTGAATGCCACCTTAGGGGCGATCTTGCTTCCTGACAGCATGTTCCTGGGTGAACGGTCCTGTCTGAAGAGATGGGGAACTCCCTCCTCATCATCACCAGGCCCCATCATTCCCTCTAAATGGCCTGATCACCTCTTCAGGCCCCACCTCCTGACGATAACCACCAAGTCTCAACGTTAGTTTTGGAGAGGACAAACCTATTTCTAACCCTTACAGCAATTGCATGCTGCAATGTGATTGTGTCATCCTTGCCTCCCTCAAGTAACCAGAGGTGTTCTGGAGACCCGACCCCGTCCCTGACCCCGTGTCCATCCAGGGACAACTCAGAGGTGTGGGAAGGAGCTACAAGGATGAGGAAGGATGGGAGCCCTGAGCATGGTCCCAGGGCTGGAGGGGGTTTGTACAATCCAAAGGCCTGCCTGGGGCAGTGTAAGGGGTGGCTTTCTTTGGTTACTTGGCCCAAAGTTAAGTACCCTACTCCTGCAACAGGTGCTTCTGTTAGCCGCCCCCGCCCCAGTAGGCAGAGGAGAAGGGCATCTGTGCTGGTGAAGATACCCCTTCCACCATCTTAGGGGCTCCTCCTCCACTCCCCACCACACCTTTGTGTGCTCTGTGGGATAAATGAGCATTGCTCCCACTCTCGGTGGAGGAGTGGAACTAAGCAAGATGGAGGGGTGGGAGGAGGGGGCTGAGAGAGTTGACAGTACGCCTTGAGGAAGGAAGGGTCCCAGAGGACCACCTTCTCACCTGTCTGGATCCCTTCATAAGAGAGGGCCAAGGGACGCCTGGATGGGCTCCGGGGTAAACAGATCTGTGATGTGCTGGCCTCCAGTGAAGAACAGAGGAAGACACAGAAGCCGTAGCAAATGCACAGGCTGGACTGAGGGATGCCAGGAGAGCCTGATGGCCAGTGTCCTCTTTGATGCCTTTTGTCATGGGTTGAGACCTACCAAAAACGAAGGAATACACACTCCAAGAGGCAGAGGCAAGCTCCGGCAGGCTCAGGGCTCCTGGAACCACTTATGCTCAGTCCAAGCTAATTACAGGAGGGCAGGGAATGTTCTCTGGAAGGATGGAGCTTTATTTTATTTTTTCTGACTGACATATGTGATTGATTGGCATCTCTTGAATTGTGTGATCTCATGATTCTCTCTGCTACAATTATATGCATGAGATGTAGTCAGCCCTTAAGTGGTTTGTGATGTCCCAAAGGCCACTTTAGGATCACCTTTTCCTTCGTGGACATGCACTAAAGAAATCTCTAGAGGAATCGTCTATTGGGTTTTGCTTTCTAATTGTGGTTGGAATTTTTGTTTGCTTGCTGGAAGAGGTTTGCACAACAGGACGGCCTGTCTGGAGCAGTGCAGGAAATGGATTTTGTGTTGTTGGTGGCAGGTCCTGGAGTTGACTTCCCTGTGATTTTTACAGCCCTGCCTCACTGGAAGAGGGAGGGTAAGACAGAGCCATGAACATGGGAGGAAGATCCCAGAAGGAAGAATGACCTCCTCCTCATATAACCAGAGGAGATCCATGCCCAGGTGTCTCTCAGATCACAGAAATGAAAGGCTGCTTCTCCATATAATCACCTGTCCAGGAGGAAGAGGAAAGACACCATGTCCCCAGAGCCAACTGCTCCCAAGTCACCTCTGCTTCTAAATGCTCGCTCCCCCTCAGCTTTTGGAGGTCCCCTCCCTGAGTATCACCCCCCCATCTAGCTCCTCCCCTTGCATGACAGGGAGGAGGTGAGCCCTGGAGACTGCTGTCACATGGGACTACAGTTTCTTCCTGCAAAGCTCCTCAGAGGCTCATGCATTTATGCATTCCACAAATATTAATTAAAATCTATTGTGTGCAGACGATTACACTAATCATTTAAGAGGCCCGCATAAGAAGACAAGGGCATAATAAAGCCCTTGTTTATCATCTTGAGCCCTGAAGCCTGAAGGCAGCTCAGAGAGCAGGAGGCACTTGGCCCTAGAAGGAGGGCCAAGTCTTGCCCAGTGTCTCAGTTTCTAGACTGGGAAGGACTAAGTCTCGTGATTTGGGGGTCCATGTTTCCAGTTCCCTTTCACCGTCAGAAAGCCTTGTTTAGGGTACTAAACTGCTCCCCACATGCTGCAAACTCATCCTCCACACAGTCTGAGAAGTAGAGCTACAGCATCCGTTCTTACACAGGCTCAACCCAGGAGCTGGCCTGGATGCAGACAAGAGAGGGAAAGGACCCCAGGGTAGGACTAGCTCTTCTATGCTCTAGTCCAGCAGGTGGCTATAAGAATGGGAGAAGACGCTGGGCGGTGGTGGCGCACGCCTTTAATCCCAGTACTCGGGAGGCAGAGGCAGGCGGATCTCTGTGAGTTCGAGGCCGGGCTGGACCGACAGCCTCCAAAACAATACAGAGAAACCTTGTCTCATAAAACCAAAAAAAAAAAAAAAAAAAAAAAAAAAAGATTGGGAGAAGACTAGGGTGAGCCTGAAGGAAGCTTTGTAAAGGAGGCTAGAGACCACAGAAGCTCCAAAGAGAGACCACTAGCAGAGTGGGGTGGTGGTGGAAGGAACTACCCAAGGATCCTGGCAGTCAGAGGGGCAGGCTCCACGGTTAGGCTGAGCTTGACTCCATGCTTTCCAGGTGTGTGTACTCCAAGGGTCGCTTAGCCTTCCTGCCCTTCCTCTTTCTGACTTCTAGAATGGTAACGCCATTAGTTCCTCCTAATGTGAGAGCTCACAAAGACTGGCTGGCTTCTTCTGTTATAATCAAAGTGACTTGACAGTTGTGGGGAAGGTGTCTGAGGACAAGGCTGAGGCTTGGCCTACCTGACAGAAGCTGGCACTGGGGACCCCCAGAAGCGTGTCCTGAAGACTTTGCAGCCATTGCTGAGGGAGGGGGTTGTGGCTATCAAGGATGTGGGCTGAGAGAAGTCATACTGTGTCTGGATGCCAGGGAAAGGACCAGGTAGGGCCATCTCTCTGAGCTGTAGTCCAGGAGGGGCCTGTGTGGCAATGGGAGAGGCTCTGGGCAAGCTTGAGGGAAGCTGCAGGGAAGGAGGCTGGAGCCCACAGCCTTTCATCCTTAAGTGAGGAGTTGACACCGGTATGACTCTTGAATATCGCATTCTGTGGTTCAGAGGAAAAGAGTGGCGGGGGATGGGGGTGGGGGGTGGGGGAATAGGAGAATCCTGGGGGAGAGGACACAGCCCCAGCAGCATCTGTGGAAAATGAGAGAAGCAAGCATCTCCTTCCAGCCAGACATGAAGGCATAAAAGTAAACATGGACAAGGACGCACGGGTTCAGTTCAGGTGCAGCAAAAAGGGACTGGTGGGACTGTGAGGCTAGAAGGAGCTAGGGTTGGTGCCATGGGGCCCTTGAGAGAGTAGGGTTCTAGAAAGACAACGAAGAAAGCACATTCACCTCTGTAGATCCATATCACCATCACAAGGACCCCAGGAGACGTCAAAATGGGTGACTTTGTCCATTTCACAGAGAAGTACATTGTTATCAGTTGGCATGCTGTCTTTATCGTCATTCTTCTAAAGGTATCTTTTTCTCATTCTCTATGTGGTTGCTTGTGGTTTTCACCATTAGGTTCTTCATGAGTGTGTGGTTTCTTTCTTTCCATACTCTGTGTCTTTCCCAACTTTCATTTTGTTTGTTTCTAATTTACCTCACGGCAATCAGTGGCACATCTTACCTAATTTTTAAGGCTTATTTCATGGTTCAGCAGACAGTTCATCATGGAGAACATTCCATAATAAAAGACTTATAAAATAATCTGTTCTGCCTCTGTTGGGCAGTTCAATTTACAAACAGATAGTTTTCAAGTCTACTATTCCCTTATTAATCTATAATTGAGTTCTACACTGTGTTTGAAGTGTGGTATTAAAGTCTCCAACTGTTATTGTCTATTTGTTTTTCAGTTTGGTCAGATTTTGCTTCATAACTTTCAGGGCTCTGTTGTTAGGTACATATATCTTCATAACTGTTAGAACCGTCTGATAGAGTGACCATTTTATCAACATAAAATACTTTGCAATGACAACAGCTTTTGTTTTAAATTCTATTTTGTGTGATATTCATATAGCCACTCTATTTTCTTGTGTCTGCTGTTTGCATAATAGATTTTCCCTACTCTTTTGCTTTCTACATATTTGCATGTTTAAGACTAAAATGTGTCTGTGGTAAACAACATACAGATGGCTTCTTTTATTTAGTCTGACAATCTCTGCCTTCTGATTAGATTTTCTAAAACATTTACATTTAATGTTATTATTCATGACATTAGCTTTACATCCACCATCTTTCTATTTGTCTGTATAATCTCTTTGTTCTTTCCTCTCTCCTTTACTGCCTCTTTTTGTTCTAAGTGGAACCGTTTAGTGTAACATT